AGATGTAGACAAATTTTAAAAGGTAATATTGTCATAAATGGGTGTAAACATTGACAAAGAAATACAGAACATGTTTGTTCTGGGAGGTTGGGAGGGTATGATGCTGCCAGCATGTCATAGACAGCTCCTGGAACAAAACAATATTTAAACTTGGTCATACAAAAAATATGTGGACAGTCTCCAGTTGACTAATTACGCATAAAACAATGTTAAGAAGATGAGAATATTCGAGTAATCACAGATAATGCACTAAGATTGTTGAGTAAGGTACAGGTGGGAGGTGATGGAAAGACAAATTTCGGCTTTGGAGGCCAGCAATGCTACAGAAACCTCTTTAAAAAAAATCTTAATAATAAAAGTATTATGATAGAACATTAGAATTTACCTTACGTTGTAAATTTTCCTCTTATACTTTAACAACAGTGATCATGTGTGTTCCTAACCATTTTTGATAGAAACAAATGCAAATTTTTTATTTATGCCACCTGCATAGAGAATTTAGATTATACATGTTTTGCAGTATGAGAATTTTTTGGCCAGAAATTTCTGTTGTGAATAAATACAGCATTTCTCTGTTATCTGGACTTCACAATTCTGACAACAAGAGCAATGTACTTGGAATTTTCTTTCAAGTTAAAATCTTTATCATTTCTGAACAGAAAGCTTTCACTGCTGTGGTTCAGTTAAATTATGAGCGCCAGAGATGACTCTTAATCATAGCTCTTTAATTTGGGAGCTAGTGAGCAGTTTTCCCTTATCACTTAATGGGATTGAACTTCTGATCAGACCAGTTTTAACACTGCATGAGACAACTGTTTCTTCTGTAGTGTAAACGGATCTTGATAAAAAATACCTTGTTGACCAACTGACTAAGGAGGAATTGAATCTATTTACTAGAAAGATGGCTTAGGTTATTGATGGGCTACAATATTGTAATTCCCATGAACTATGACTGGACAGCTCTATAAGTATTGAAGATAAAATCTGAAATCAGAGGACAGAAACTACATGGAAAGTAGAATTGCTATTTAGCTAGTCCATTCTGACATCTTGCAGTATTAGAAGGGCCTCTGAGGGCATTCGGTAATTGTTTTCATAAATCTGCCAAATGAATTTCTTCTGTTAGTGTTAATTCTAGAAAACTGGGTGGTTGGGCTGGGAATGGATCACAGTTGCTTTGTTGGCAGTGGTGGCATGACATAAACATGAAGTCCTGTGGAGAGTTAAATCAGATTCTTAGATAAAATAACCAATGAATGGTAAGAATAAGACACTACAGAAAGGAAGAAGATTGAGATGGTTGTTAAGAAATGTCAGGCAAGGAATTCCCATAGATTAGGGATGTGTTTTTGTATTAAATTCTGACAAGGTGTGTAGAAGTCAA